AATAGGCTTCAGATGGTGGTGATTTTTGCTCTCTGCTGACCTGAGCTAGGCTTGAACCATCAACTGGAGGCTTTATAGCCCCTGAGCCGTCCACCCACCCATGACCTCTTTTTCATAACTTCTCAAATATCATATTAATCCACCTCCCCGTGAGTGGCAAAAGAGTCTTGGCTGTGAAGAAGCTCACAACTAGTTAAGTCCTGTCCTAATGCAGTGAAAATCCTGATAGCAGTGATATGGGGTGGGGAGGTGGGGTGGGTGGCAGTTTTTCCCATTCCTACCCGCTGCTAGCAGGATTCTCGGCACAGAATGGGGCAGGAGCCCTGAGTTTGGCAGGAAGGGAGCTCAGGGCTGAGGCAGCTTTGAGTTTTTAATGTGCGAAGGATATTTGCTTCTAGTGTCAGAAAAGGAGGGCCACAGATCAGTGGTGCCTGATTCTCCCTTGAGGCCAAGCGCATATGCACTGTGAAGAGCAGGATGAATCAGTGGAGAGGAGAGGGAGGGATGCAGGTGAGGGATGATTGCTCTGGAGCTGTGAAAACCTGGTTACTACGTTTAGGGAATAAACCACAGCTGGTGCCTGTCGGGAAACGGAAGTAATTGAATAAGTGGCAATAACAGAGAGAGCAAAAGGCGGGCAGCAAGATTCGGCTTGTCGTATCCATCTAGTTTTTTTATCACTCAAAGGTCTTGTCAGGCCTGGTTTTGATTCCCAGAGCTGACGAGTGTCTTTGGAGTGAGGCTGTTTCAGGGGCTGGGTGGGTGATGGCTGCACGGGTAAGTATTACACAAAGGGGCTTCCCAAGCACCTCCGCTCTCACTCCAGAGCTGAGCTCCCCGTTCCTGTCGTCTCTCTCTTTTGACTAGGAAACTGCCTCCGCAACTCTTCTCTCAGCCTTCTGTGAGAGCTTTAGCTATGTGGAAAGGCATTTGGAGTCTCTCTCCCTTGACATCAGTGCTGGGGTGATCTTTCCCCTCTGGTTTACTACCCTACCTCCCTTTCTGCACTGACGCCTTTGGTGGTAAGATTTCCTGTCAGACTCTGTCATGTTTGTTAGCAGTTCTTTCTTTCACAAGACTGTGTGGGAGCTGCTGGCCAGGCCTGGCTCTTGGCTGGGCTGTCACAGAGCTTGTACTTCCTCAGGAAAGCTCCCCATAGTGGGAGCTATTAGAAACTCCAGAGTTGTAGGGCTTGTCTACATGGGGAAGTAGCCGGGAATCGCTATCTCGATTGCTACCTTCCTGTGGGAAGTAGGTTAAGCGAAACCACCTAAAGGCACTCTCTAGTGCAGAATAAGAGTGTCCACATGGGGAATTAGTGTGGAATAGTTATTGCGCTTTAAATTCACACCCTTGCCTGTTTTGCAATAGCCTCCCCATGTAGACAAGCCCACAGAGAGTGAACACAAAACTGGAACCATTTGGAAATAGGAGGGAGGGGTCTGAATGTTGCATTCTAGGATATGTCTGGGGGAAGGGGGTAGTGCTTGGCTGTGAGGTGGGATGCTGAGAAATGTAGGGGGGGAACATATTTTAACATGCTGTAACAAATACAAAACATCCAGCTTTGCAGACAAGGCTGCTGTTCTGTCTGGGTGACTGTGGCAAGAAGGGTTCTGCCAACGTGGGTCTCATTTTAAGTCAAGTCACTCACAATGCTTGACAAGATAATTGCTGTGGATTATTGTGCCATATGCATTGGGTGCGAGAGGAATATACGTGACCCCTGTTTGGGTAGCAAGAGGTTTTCTGTGGAAAGTTTGAGTGCCTGACAGGCCTGGGAACTTCCTGAGAAGACATTTGCAGTGATCTCTGAGCATCTCAGACATTTACATATTACATGAATTGCTGCTTTAAAACAGAAGTTGAATGTTCAGAGCAAAGGGTATTGTTCATCTGAGCCACACCCCAGGAGCAGATGCAGTGCCAGGCCCCTGTTTCAGAGCTGGCCCATTACATGAAAAGCCTTTCAGTCAAGTGTCTTGGATTAGGAACATTCTGCTTATTATGGTTGAGAATGCATCATGATGTCACAGAGGGCTAACCGTGTCATGGGGATGTTCAGGAAGAATATGGGGAAGAAGGAGACTGAATACCAGTTGCTGGTCTAACGTAGGTTGTTCGTGTTGGGTAGTGCCTACATGATGGTAGACCCATGATAAAGAACCCATTGTGCTGCATGATGCACTGACATATAATGAGAGACGAAGCGTTTACAATCTCAGTAGACAGGTCATGGAAAGGGGAGGGAATAGGGTTAGAACAGACAAGCAGAGTGAGGGTCAGCAAATGGCAAGGTAGGTCCACCGTTTTAAAAAATTCTTTGCATGGTCCTGGATGAGAAGGGTTCGTGTGGTGAACAAATGTGGAATTTCCCTGGGGAAGTTGCTTCCTAACCTCTATCACTTAGCGGCTGCTTTATGCCCTGAAGCATGAGTGTTTATGTAGCCCTTCTTTAAAAAAACAACGATGTGACCCAACTAATGTAACTCTGGATGTCCCTGTTATCTGTATACATTTCTTATCCATTTTGTAATCCTGCTAAGGTCTTGGCTCCAGTGGTAAATTAATTCCATGTGTGAATAATGCATTGTGTTAAAAACAGAATTTCCTTCTATCAGCTTTAAATGCTCTGCCTTTCTGTTTCCCTGAATGTCACCTTGTTCTTGTAGTATGAGAGAGTAAAGAGGAGTGGCCATCTACTGTGTCTGTCCCGTTCATTTTTTCTCATGCCTCTGTTATGCTCAGCTGAGCTCCAATTGCCAGTGATGGTGCCAAGGTCAGAAGGGACTGAACTGGTGGAACAAGTGTGACACAATGCTGATGTCTTCTAATTAATTATTTTAAGTTCCTAAAGGGGGCGAGATCCGCAGCTGGTGTAAATCGGCATGGCTCCCTGGAGGTTGATGGCGTGGTGGTGAATTATGCCCACTGAGAATCTGGCCCCAAATCAACTTGTTTTCCTGATGATGTGTCTGGCCCTGTTGCTCCTGGTACAGAAATGAATTCCGGATGGAATGAATTGTATGTTCTGGGAGCATCAAGGGTACAGGGGAAGGTGCAGAGCCCTTTAATCTGCTCACACAACAGCACAACTGTGTATACTACAAACTTGCATTGGGATGCAATGATGTGTTCTCCTCCCTCCCCAACCCCCCAGCTGCGGGGGCTGCTCCATCGCCCAATCTTCCTACAGAAACTGCTCCAAGCACTCCCAGGTTCCTAGGAGGCCTTCAAATAAATCTTGACATTTTAAAAGGCCATTTCCCTCCACCCTACATGTCGGCAGTAATCCGAGGACAAACGGCCTCATTTATATAAAAAGGGAAAAAATCCGCCCCAGTCTGCAGAATAATGTAGGGGGCCCTTTCCAGCCCCCTGAGGATGCTGCTGGAATCCTCCTGCATACAAAGAGGTGATTGATGAACTAAGTCAGCCCGGGAGGAGATGATACGTGGGAAAAAGCTGAGTGGAGAGGCTCTGAAAGGGAAACCTTTCCCGTAAAAGAGCCACCTCCTGGGAGGTCAGTTGTCCCTTAAACTATTGTGCCTGGTGCACCCAAAGAACGGGACAAAGTCTGACTAGGCTGGGAGAGGAAAAGGGGAATCCTCTGCTGTGTTGCTTGCATAGCAACACATGACCCCAAAGGTCACAGTAGTAGCACCAAGAAGGCATTAAAACCCCACTGGGTGCGAGGGTTTTTGTGTGCCCGGCTGGCTAGAGCAGCAGTTTGGGAGTCAGAACTCCTGGGTTACGTACCCAGCTCACCCAGAATCACACAGTAAGTCAGTGGTAAAGTCAGTTCATTGCTTTGGGGCTGTTTCCCCATGTGCATAATAGAGGTAATGAGGCTGGCGTGCTTTGCACAGAGCTGGACAGTCCTGTAGAGTGTGGTTCATGCAGGGCAGGACACATGAGCCTGATCCACTGGCAGTTAGTCCGCTGGGCTTACCCATCCTGCATCGCCTGGAGGTTTTGGTTGTACAGACCCTTCTGTCCAGGGCACTCCCCCGCTCCCAGGCACTAGTCCCCTTTTGGAAAGTGCTTGGAGATTCCCAGCTCGAAGGTGCTACAGTAGAGCAGATGACAGGTTTCAGAGTAGCAGCTGTGTTAGTCTGTATTTGCAAAAAGAACAGAAGTACTTGTGGCACCTTAGAGACGAACCAATTTATTTGAGCATGAGCTTTCGTGAGCTGTAGATAAATTTGTTAGTCTCTAAGGTGCCACAAGTACTCCTTTCCTTTTTTAGTAGAGCAGATGGTTACTATTCCATCAGGCAGGCTGTGTCCCTTCCCCCTCACCTGAGCCAGCTCTGTGCCTGCCTGCTGTTTGGATCTGTATATTGCAGGAGAAGGAAGAGCCTTGTAATTTCCCTGGCTGGGTGGGGAGTGGAGTCCCAGTGTGGGGAGACTTCAGGCTTTGCACTTTGTGTGTTGGCATGATGCCTACTTGCTCAGCTCTCTCCAGGCTGCTCCCAGCAGCAATCTTCCTGCAACCTGCCGTCCAAGTGCTGGGCCGGAGCAATTAGTTTTCCTCCAGGAAAAGCCAGAGCCAGGAACTGATGAGGCTTTAATAACAACAACAGGAAGTCTCCTCCCCACACTCCCACCTCAAGTGCAAAGACTTGGGAGGAGAAAAGCCATTTCAGGAGAAAGCCTAAAAGGATGTGATGCTTGAACCCATTGCAGCTTCTTGTTTTGCCTGTACTAGCCACAGCTGTTGTCCCCCTATCTCAAGGCCAGAAGGGACCATTGTGATCGTCTTAATCTGGTCACCTGCATAACACAGGCCACAGAACATCCCTAAAATCATGCCAAGGGCAGATCTTTTAGAAAACCATCCAATCTTGATTTAAAAATTGTCAGTGATTAAAGAATCCACCAGGCCCCTTGGTAAATTGTTCCGGTGGTTCATTACTCTCACTGTTAGAAAATTACGCTTTGTTTGCCGTCTGAATTTGTCTCGCTTCAACTTCCATAGTGCAATGTGATTTGTTTCAGCAGCCGTCCCCATGATGTGTGAGACGGGACTGATCTCCCCGGAGCCCTCCAGCCCGATGCAGTACTACGGAGAGTCCTCCGACACCTACTACCATGTTGACCGCTGGCAGAAACTCCGGACGGCCGTCAGGAAGCTGGAGTTCTGGGAAAACTTCAATGCTGAGCTGATAGGCAGCGGCTTCTTCTCCAAGGTTTACAAGGTAAAGCAACGAGTGGCTTGACATAACATGAGAGGAGCTGCCCTGGGACGTGGAGCAGCTGTCAGCATGCAGGTGTGGGATAAATGTGTCCATGCGGAGAACTCCTCCTCCTAACGTCTTTCTTGGCAGGACTCTGCTCTGCTGTCTTACTTGCCAGACTTTCTCCCTCCGACTTCCCCCTGCGAGACTGCTTGAAGTTGGGGAGGAGAGGAACCTCCCCCCACATTGACCCTATTTTCCCCCTTCACAGAAGCTCTGAGGGGTCGCTGTGGTTTATGGTGAGGGGGAAGACGGTCTTGTGTCTGACGCATGGAACTGGAAGCCAGGAGTTCTGTCCCTGACTGTGCCACAGACCCACTGGGCATAGGCCCTGAGTTTTCTTTTTCCCCAGGAGTGCTCCACCCCCTCCCTTGCCCCGCCCCCCCTTTGCCCCTCCTTGATGCCTTGCCCTGCCTTTTCCCAGCCTGCTTGAGGCCCCGCCCGCTGCTCTCCACCCACCCCCGAACAGCTGACCAGCAGCGGCTGCTGCCTGAACAGCTGGGCTGGTGGGTGCTGAGCACCCACTTGTTTTTTCCCATGGGTGTTTCAGCCCCAGAGCACCCACGGAGTCACGCCACTGAGTGACCCTGGGCGAGTCGCTGCCTCTCTTTCTCAGATTCCCCCTGGAGGAGCCGAGTTTGTCAGTTGTTGCCACGTGCTCTGAGATCCTCAGATAAAAGGGGAGCCGTAGAGGAGATAAGGGTTGTGACTGTGTGCTGGCCTGTGCACGTCTGGAAGATATTTACGCTGTGTGCAGATTTGCTGTTGAAAACAAAACCGAAGTGCACAGTGAAAAAGAATCTAAAATTAAATCCCACACACTTCCCAAAGTAGCAGCCTCCCACTCCCTTTGGAAGCTCCAGCCCATGCGCTTGTCTCTTGATGCATCGTCACAGTGCGTTAGACTAGCTGTCGTGGTGTTATGGGCTGGTGGGTCATACAGAGCAGTCAGATTGGGATGGGTTATTTCCCTTTCCCAGCCTCAGGGCAGGAATCCCATAGATCACCACAGGCTGGTCTTTGATGCCTCGTGAGGTACAAGCGGGTGACACCAAGTGACGTACCAGCGGGTTACTGCTGTGTTCTGAACGTAGGAGCTTCTAATTCACTTCCTGCATCAGGCACAGCTGAAGTGGGAGGCTGTTGAAACCCCTCTCTGTGCAAATTCCTGGGTGCTGCGTTCCATATATCACCTGTCCACCTTCTCCCATGACAAAGTGCTTGGAGCATCTCGTGCAGGGGGTGTGGCATGCACATGACAGTGGATCATGTGTAAATAATGCTTAGTTTGGGGGTGGATGATCCCCCCCCTTTGCCTAGTTAGCCTCCATATCCATTGCCTTGTGGCACCCGTGCAAACAGCCCCGGGGGAGGGCAGGAGTGTAGTTTCTTTAAGGGAATGAGGCTCAGACCTTCAACTCCAGGAGAGGCTGCCGTTTCCTTTCCTCTGCTTCTTTCGGAGTGCCATCTTCCAGCCAAATTTGCTTCTCTACCACTTTATTTTACAGTAGCCTTCCAGCATGCTGCAGCTCCTAGTAGTCCTGTGAATGGGGACGTGACACCTACATTGGATGGAAACAAATCGCCAATGGGTCCAACAGTTTGGTCAGAGTCATTCTGGTGTGACTCTTTTCCTTGGGAGTCTATAGAATGGCTAGTCCTGGGAACAAGACAGCAACCTCTGATCTTCTCCATGCAAGCGCAAGATGCTACCACCAGATCAATGGGATGACCTATATAGACACTTTGGGCCAGATCCTCAGCTGGTGTACGTCAACGTTGCTCCGTTGAAGATAATGGTGGCATGCTGGTCTACACCAGCGGGGGATCTGTCCCTCAAAGTGTGGAAAATGTAGCAGTTAATTGGAAGTATAACTGCGTGTTGACTTTTCAAGGTGCTAACTTATCTTACATCCATCACTGTGGTATCTGGGCACAGTGTCTGTATAAAGTTTTGGTGGATTTCTGGTTGAAAGAGAGAGGGAGGGAGGACAGATTGAGACTTGTTTTAAACGGTATCTCCAGCCCAAATGGTACAGTAGCTCTTTTCAAGCCTATGCAATGCCCCTCCCCACTTCCCACAAGAGCCTTGGTTGAGTAATCACTCATCCCCACTTCCACTGAGTGCCTACTGCCTCTTCTCTCTCTCTCCTGCCTTTCTTTAGCAAATTGCCGTAGTAACAGTTGCTGTTTCTATTGTGCGTGACATTTCCAGTCTGTCCTGCTGCTGAATGGGATTCCAGCAGTAGGCAGGTTGGAGACACACAGCTTGAATGAAGATAAAACAACTTTTGTTAAGCAAAAATATAAAAAAATAAAGGTTGAATGAGATGTTTGGCTCAGAGACTCGGAATGCAGAGAAGGACGGGCTCGGCTATTGTCCTACAGTGGGACTTGACATTTGATTGGAGACTCGAGTTGTTACGGTTACTAAGCATGTGGATTATTTGCATTCCCAATTCCCTGTCTTCCTTGTAGGTCTAGTAGTCTCCTCTGGACCCTGTGTCCTGTAACTGTGGCATGTTTGTTGCTCCTGGTTTTAAGTACCCTTGAAGATGACACTTTGAAGTTCTTTACTGGTGGTCGCTCTCCTCCAAAGAGCTTTACGCACATGAATGCAACCTCACAACATAAAAAACCCCACATTTCTGATGTGGGCACTGAATCATAGAATCATAGAATATCAGGGTTGGAAGGGACCTCAGGAGGTCATCTAGTCCAACCCCCTGCCAAACCCCCTGGGTTTAGCAGGCCAATGCTCAAACCACTGAGCTATCCCTCCCCCCTGAAATGTTGCCTGTAGCATCTGTACTGCTGTCATTTATCTCTCACCTGTGCGCACAAGCAGGTAACTGTGTAAGCAAGGTGGCTAGAGAGAAAGGCTCGACTTGGATTTCATCACGAGACAGACTTGAGAGATCTGGGTTCAGTGCCCAGCTCTGACCTTGACTCGCTTTGTGACCTTGGAACAGGTCCCTTTCCCGCTGAGTGCCTCAGTTTCACCATTTGTGACATGTGGTATTCAGGCTCAGGGTGAATTGATTCATGAATAGTTATCGAGTACTTTAAAATTCCATGATGATGACACTAGTTAAAGGCAAAGCCATGGATGGATTTTTGCTGGTCCGGTGTTTAGATACAATTGGAGATAAGACTTTGAACTTCTACAGCTCCTTTTGTCGACGGACCTTAAATTAAGTAAGCCTCACAACTCCCTCCTCTTTTTTGATGAGCAGAGTTTAAACTTAATCTCTCTGTCCTCTGACTTAGGCCCAGCACAAGCCCCTTTATCACTTTTCAGCTTGTGTTCAGTGGCGGGAAAGCCCTGGAGATACCTTTCCGTCCCTCTGATCCTCAGGCTGACCCAGGGCAGAACTGGACCCCAGCATAAATTAGCAGCCAAAGGGCTGCTGTAAGATATGGTGGGTAGGGACTGCTCTGCTGGCAGGGGATTGGGGAGCACTGTGTGCACCAGCCACGCCCTCAATCCACCTAGGAATGTCCCCTCTGTCAGGTGGTGGAGAGCAGTTGGCACAGATCTGCCTATGCTGACTGTATACCACCTGGGGATTCCCCTTATGTCAGGGGAATCCCTGAAAGCTGGTTAAGGCAACTCCCCATGTGCTTTGGGATCAGGCCCATAGAAAGGCAAAGGATTATTGATGTCCCAGTCTTCTGAGTCTCGGGGACCTGGGTTCAGATTCAGGGCTAGGTCTACATCTAAAGCAGGTCTGGTGGTCTCATGCTAGTCGTTGTCTCCTGCATTTCCACCTCAATAGCTCCTACGCTTCAGCATAAACTAATACTGTGTGTAACAGGAGAAGCAGACAGAAGGAAAGGGGAAGAGGAGTCATGTTATTGAGCAGTAAAGCAGCTGGGAAAGAGCCAGGTTTGACAAAGCCCTGGCTGGGATGATTTAACTGGGAATTGGTCCTGCTTCGAGCAGGGGGTTGGACTAGATGACCTTCTGGGGTCCCTTCCAACCCTTATATTCTATGATTCTATGAGGTGTGACCGAAGTGAGGTGGGCTGTGCCAAGCTCTCCTTTACCTTCCTTATGGTGCCAGCACTGACTCAGCTTTGGAGAAGGAGAGATGGGGAGGAGCAAAGGAATTAAAAATGAATGACAGTGGAAATGGTACCAGCTCATTAAGCACTACGTTGCAGTCCTAACAGCAAAATCTGTGTAATAAAGGATGTTACCAAGTGTCAAGGTTCCTTCTCCACTTTGAACTCTAGGGTACAGATGTGGGGACCTGCATGAAAACCCCCTAAGCTTATTTTTACCAGCTTAAGTTAAAACTTCTCCAAGGTACAAACTATTTTACCTTTTGCCCTTGGACTTTATTGCTGCCACCACCAAGCATCTAACAAATATATAACGGGGAAAGAGCCCTCTTGGAAAAGTCTTTCCCCCCAAAATCCTCCCAAACCCTACACCCCCTTTCCTGGGGAAGGCTTGATAAAAATCCTCCCCAATTTGCACAGGTGAACACAGACCCAAACCCTTGGATCTTAAGAACAATGAAAAAACAATTAGGTTCTTAAAAGAAGAATTTTAATTGAAGTAAAAGAATCACCTCTGTAAAATCAGGATGGTAAATACCTTACAGGGTAATCAGATTCAAAACATAGAGAATCCCTCTAGGCAAAACCTTAAGTTACAAAAAGACACAAAAACAGGAATCTACATTCCATTCAGCACAGCTTATTTTATCAGCCATTTAAACAAAACAGAATCTAAGGCATATCTAGCTAGATTACTTACTAAGTTCTAAGACTCCATTCCTTTTCTGTTCCTGGCAAAAGCATCACACAGACAGAGAGAACGTTTGTTTCTCTCCCCCCCCCTCCAGCTTTGAAAGTATCTTGTCTCCTCATTGGTCATTTTGGTCAGGTGCCAGCGAGGTTATCCTAGCTTCTTAACCCTTTACAGGTGAAAGGGTTTTTCCTCTGGCCAGGAGGGATTTTAAAGGTGTTTACCCTTCCCTTTATATTTATGACAGCAAGAAACCCAGTCCCTGGTGACTCACCCCGTGCCAGCAGGTTTGAAAGGCTGCTCTGCAATTCTGCATCAGATTGAAGTGGTGTAATGTGTGTCTAGAGGACTTGAACAGCTTGGCCACCACAATGCATCTGTTTAGGACAGAGGAGGGTCGGGAGGAATATGGGGCTGCTCAGAAGCCCGGGTGAGTGTGCTGTGGCATGTCTCCAGAAGTGCTGCACAGGCATGGAAGATAATTGGCACCATTGTCAGTTTTGCACAGAAAATAAGGGTGGAATTTGCATAATGGGTCCACACGTTTCTGTTCAGCTGCCGTTTCTCAGCACTCTAATGAGCTAATAACCCTCCCCAGAACTATATGGTAGCTCTTCTTAAAGCTTTTTAGAACTTGCAGCTTGTGAGTCTAAGAACCCCTCAGTGCCAGCTGACAAAGGGTTTGCTGTACTGTCAGGCCTGACAAACCCATTACACCGAACACTGTCTTTCATAGTGTTTATCCAGAAAATGTCTTGTGAGGTATTAAGTGAAAGCCAGTAACACCCTGGTCATTAATATAATCATAAAATACATGTATTAACCCTATATGAGGAATTATCTATACCTACTGATATTATGCTTTTAAGTCAACAAGGCAGAGTGGACAAACAGGTCTTCTGCCAGACAGAAGTATGTCTGTGCAGCTATACCCGTCTCCATGTAAACGAAGCATTGTGAACTAAATACAATGGGAGTTACATTTGGAAGCAAAATGGGAAAAACAAACTAACATGGTGATGTGAAGGCAGCCTGGTGCCAGCACACCAGAGAGCCAGCAACTGGAGAGAAGAGTTCTGCCTTGGGGTGCACTTCAAAAGGATATATTTCAAAGGTTCCTGGACTATAAGAAGAAGAAAAAAGAACCCCCTTGTTATCGAATTACCGACGAAACCCCTTGAAGGGTGTAGGGGACTCATGAAAATCTAGATCTGTAAACCCGCAAACTCTGCAGAAAAGGTTTTAGGTGAGAAATTGCTTTAGATAATACTAACTTGCTAGAGTGAAGTTCTAGGCTTGGGGAAGTAGGTTATCTTTGTGTTTTATTTGTAACCCTTGCCTTTTCCGTTATTCTTATTCCACAGGCACTGGAATCAGTGGATCTCTGTTCTTTGTTAACAAACTTATATTTGTTTTCACCGTAAATAGTTTACAGCCCTGTGTTGTTATAAAGGACCTGATCCTGACTTGCAGCCTTCCAGCTTTTGTACACTGTCTCTTTGGGGACAGCTTATCTGGTGATTACTGTGGGTGTCCCGGTGACAGGGGCTGGACACTGCAGGGGGATGTTTCTGGAGCATTCAGTGACTGGGGTGCACCTAATGTTAACCTGCAAAGCAGAGTAGGGCTGGCAGAGTCCTGAGAAGAGGGCGAGAATCCTGAAAGGCGGGTGTTGTCCAGGAGCCAACGCCCAGCTGCCCCAAGGTAAACTCTCTCACTCGGGTGGCAGGGGTGTAAACAAGGTCACCCACAATCCTGGGTGCCCCGAGAAGGTGTCACGCAGCTGTGGACCTCTTAAATGCTCTCTATGCCTTTTGCACAGCCACAGATTTCAGGAAGCCCACAGCCTCTGGAGTAAAATGTCATTCACTCTGTATGTCAGGGCGGTGTGTGTGCACTGGTCAGTTACCAAGTGCAGTAAGGAGATGAGTAGCGGGGTCGGGGTCGAGCCGGGTTAGGACACCAGGAAGTCAGGGTCAGGTACCAGGTAAGGTTATAGACAAGTAGCAGAGTCGGGGTCAAGCTGGGGTCAGGAGCCAGAGTTTAGGGTCTACAGCAAAGCATGATCAGGAGTGGAAGCAAGCAGATGGTCTGCATCATTGCTCAGACAGCTCCCCAAGATGGCTCCTGGTTTATACACCAGGATGAGCCAATCAGTGGGCTGTGAGGGCCCTGCTGTGCGGTACTTCCTGTGGTGCCTAGCTTTACAGGGTCCTCTAGCAGAAACCCAGCCTAACCTTCCAGTGGTGATGTGGAAGTGTTGGCAGCCCAGAACCCCATGGTCCTAGGTACTTACAGTGCATCTCTAGCCATATACTGTAATGACGGTGCATGTAATAATAATGCACATTGTAAAGTTTGGTTATAGATTAGTAAATCCCACGGTTGGGTAATGCCTGATCCAAAACTTCTTTGCAATCCATTTAAACACAGAGGCAGGGTTATTCCTGTCATGGGCACTGGGTATTTGATTGCATTATTCTTGGAAGGGAGCAGCACCAGAGTTAACATTGCCCCAAGACTTATTTATCTTGCAGCCCTAGTTATAATTAGCATTCCTCTCTCAATCCAAACTGGATTGACGTTAGTCTCTTTGTTCAGTCCACCTGCTATGGAGTGGTAAGGTAACCTTATCTGTAAGGTAGCTTGCGCAGGTAGCCATATCACACATGACGTTTTGGGGCTTTGAATGGTGTCATGGTGCCAGCTCATTCTGTGTTTAAACGGTTTTGACCTTTGAACAAATGACAAAAAGGGCAGAAAGTTAAACAGCACGCCTGGGGTCACCCTGATAGTCCCAGCAGAAGTGTCAAGAGACGGATCAAGGCTGTACCAGCTGATTTCCTCCACCTAACAATTACCTTGGTTAAAAATAAAACATTAAAGGGACAGTTGGCCAGAGGTGGAGTTGGGCAAGAAATAGTTTTCCCATCCTGCAAATATTCTAGAGAGTTCTGAATTTGTCTTGTCTTGAATTGTGATGAAAGGTTCCAAGCTTGAAAATATTTGCAAACTGAAACACTGGTTTGTTGGTTTGTTTGTTTTGGTTCACTTGAAACATTTTGTTTCAACAATTTTTAAATATTTTGTTTCAATTTTGACTTTTTTTCTTTTATTAAACCTTTAAAAAGGTCAGAATTAGCTTAGATGTTGAAATGAAAAGTCATCTGGAACTGGAAAACCAGGGTACTTTGTTTAAAAAATGTCAAAACAAAACATTTGGATGATTTAGAAACTTTTTTCCTGCAAATTTTTTTGAGTTGGTAAATGTGTGGCACCTGGCCCTGTTAAATGAACGGTTTCAGTTTTGACAAATCAGCATTTCTTGAAAAAAATCAGTTTGTTAAAAAATTCCCAACCAGCTCTAGTCAGCAGTTCGCTCTGTGACTTGTGGGTCTGGCCCAGGATTTAGGCAGACCCCTTGTAGTGACACTAGACAGCACAGTCTCTGTTATCAACCTGGGACCGACAGAGCCTCAGAGAAACACAGGGTCTGTCAGTGTCCAGCAGCCTCAATGAACTGTGTTCATCACAGTCAAGCCCTGTTTCTACCACTGGGGGCAATAGAGGTCCCTGCTAAAAATGCCTTATTTTATCTGTTACGCTTTTAAGGTAAGTTAATGTACTATTTTTGTGTCTGAATTTGAGAAATGGCTGCTGGTGGGAAGCCCTGGAAACCAGTTTCTCTAGCTATTTACTGAGGAGGTGTGTGGTAAAGTAACCTTGCCTTGAACCACCTGCTAACATGCATCTCTGAGGGTGGCGGAGAGTGGGAAGCGCAGATTCCATGGTTCATTCAGTAACTCTGTGGTGCATTGTGATGTAGGCCCTGATCAAGCAAAGCTCGTGAGCACATGCTTAACTTTAAGTGCAGAGTAGTCCCGTTTGGGTCTGCTGGATCTGGGTGCTCTGGAGCTTGGACCGGATACTTGACAGCTCTGCGCCTTGTGCAGTAATTTACACCTGTGCAAAGCGGGTATAATCTGTGTGGTAGCATTTTAGCCCTCATGTCGCACAAGGTGTAAGGCAAGCGGGGCACCAGGCCTTGTGTGATCTTGGGAAGGATTTCCTTTCCTTGTGGGGGCTGGCGTACGTTACTGGGATAAAATGCATCTCACTGTGTCGTTTTTCACATTGCTCCAGGTGACTCAGAGTGCGACCTGCAAAGTGATGGTGGTGAAAATCTACAAGAACGACGTGGACCAGGAGGTGATAGTGCGCGAGATTAGCTTGCTGCAGAAGCTCTCCCACCCGAACATTGTCAGGTGGGTGGTGCCATAGGAGAGGCAGTGGCTAGGGAAGAGGGCCTGGTAGAGATGTGCCAGGCCTGGGTTTTTAAGTCAAGAGTCAGAGTTGGAATCTTTGTATGAGAAGAAACCTAAACCTGAGTTTTTGTCCTGTCTTGTAGGTATCTTGGGATCTGCGTGAAGGACGAGAAGCTGTACCCAATTCTAGAGGTAAAGGCTTGTTGCTGGGACACTTCTTGCTTTTAATTGTGAGGGCAGTCAGGGTCATAGGGGATGAACTCTTGCAGTCTTGCTTTCCAGAGGAAACATGTGTAAAGCACAGGTAACCCACACGGTCGCTCTTTGTCTGTCTCCAGTGGCTGGGTCACATAGAGATGTTCCCGAATCTCCTACTGCCATTGAGCTAATAGAACTGGTCTTTAGTTCTGGTAGTAGGAACTCTCACTTTTAGATCCAGAGATCCTGGGTCCTGCCCTGGCACACGGGTGGTGTTGCTCACAGATTGCATAAGGCACTTTCACTGCAGGGAAGGAGACAGCAGAATTGCACTATAAATGCAGCCAGTACGTGTTCTATAACACAATGATAGGGCCCAATCCTGCATGGCGTTCTCGGACAGAATTCACATTTACAGCATTGGGTGTCTTGTCTGACTAAAGAGGGCAGGATCAGGCCTACACTCTGAATAGTGTCTTCCAGAGAAAACAGTGTCTCAGACTCGACTCACACAAATGACGCTGAAAGGGGGTAGGCTGGGGAAACCAGAGCTGTTTGGAGTGGGCTGAAGAGTTGAGAGTGAGGAGGAGCTGCAGAGAAGAAGCCTCTTGCACCGATAATGTTGAGGGGCAGAGAGGAGACCGTTGCCAGATGAGTAAGGAGGGGAGGTGACCCGGTAGAGCAAGAACCTGAAGGCAGTAGAAACACTGCAGCATTCAACAGCACTGACCTCAAACACTATGGACAGGCTGTTTGGGAAAGGCCCCCTGGGTGCTGTCGCTCATGATCCAGCTGCATCAGCAGAGGTTGGAGGGGGAATATTGCATGGCCGCACCCACGCACCAGTCAGAGCGCCGAGCCCCACGCTGAAATTCACTCACTCAGGGTTAAACGACAAAGGCAAAAGGGCTCCTGCCCAGCATGTGTGTCTTTGCAGTTCCCTACGGCACTGCAAAGCGAGAGGCCCTTGAGTGGGTGTGGAGTGCTGGGGCTCCCGGGGGTAATCTGGTGCTGCATGCTAGTACTTTCCCGGTGTGCTGTTGCAATCTTGCACTGTACAGTAATCATCGAATATCAGGGCTGGAAGGGACCTGAGGAGGTCATCTAGTCCACCCCCTGCTCAAAGCAGGACCAATCCCCAATTTTTGCCCCGATCCCTAAATGGCCCCCTCAAGGATTTAACTCACAACCCTGGGTTTAGCAGGCCAATGCTCAAACCAAAAACCCCCTGATTTGCTTAAACTGCAATAGTCCTTGTGGTGGAAAACTCTCGGATACTGCCACAATCAATTACTCTCTTTTAATGGGAGTGGTTGTACAGCACCCAGCACATTGCTGCCCTGATCTTGGTTGGGGCCACTGGGCGCTGCTGCAGTACTCACCCGCATCACGCGAGAGGGGCTGATGAGATCAAGCAATTCCCAAACGGAGATGAACGGAGTGTTTGCAGAGGCGTATTTGCAGAGCCTCCATTCCAGCAGAGCCTGGCCTCCATAGACTCCCTGTTTGGTCTCATTTTTGCAGTACGTTAACGGTGGGTGCCTGGAAGAGCTCCTGGCCAGCAAGGAGATCACCCTCAGTTGGAAGGAGAAGGTGGACTTGGCTTCAGACATCACCAGGGGGATGATCTACTTGCACTCCAAGAACATCTACCACCGGGATCTCAACTCCAAGGTGAGCTGTGCTCAGAGGTTGACATTCACCATCCCTGGGCAAAGGGCTGGGCCTGTGTACCACTTACTCGCACGGCCGAGGCACCACGTAAATCCCACTTGAGCCCACAGGGCTCAAGTGGGACTTATGTGGTGTCTTGGCCACTCTGCACCAAGGGTGAGTTGTGAAAGCTTCCTTGACACAGCCTGTCATTATGGCATATTAGTTACGTACCAGGCAGGAGATCCTGGAAGAGCTAAAAATAGACTCCTCAAAGCACGGTTATGGTCAGAAAAGCAACTCGGGTAGAAATGGACGTGCCGGGATTTCCACACTTGTTCTCCCGCCATGGTTGCGAGATGTCCCCTGTCCAACTTGCGAATCAAACCCAGGGTTCTGTCTCTAATCACGAGCTCCGCAAGGGAAAAGAGAAGCGACCCATCAATAACAGGGAGGGACAAGATGCAGTGAGTTAGTTCGCCCTGCCACCAGAACTCTTTCTGTTTTATATGTGTAGCTGTGACAGTTCCCACTTGGGGAGCGTGGCCTACTGGTCACGCCTGCAACTCCTGGCTGCCAAGGGGGTTGTGGGGAGGGGAGCTTGGCCCCTCCCACTCCACCGGACTCTGACCCAGGGCCCTTTGGGCTACCAGTAGTCTGGCAACCAAGGCTGCTTAAGGCTGTCCTCCCCATGCTTCTTCCTCTCATCCCTTACATCCCCTGGGTCAATTTAGTCCAAGGCTTTCCCCTAGTGGGGAAACCCAAACCACAGTAGGTAAGAGGGGGTTAGCACTGTCCAAGGTCCACAGGGTACTTCCCTCTCTAGTTGTCTCCGGGGTGGGTCCCCTCCTTCCCTCAGGGAGGGCCCCTTTGGGCAGCTGTATCAGAGTCTTACGCTTCCTTCTGCTCTGCTGGAGCTGTGGGCTGCGGGTCTGCTCACCTCTGGCTCTGCCACCCAAAGGAGCTAATTCCCGGCCTTTTAATTCCTCCAGCAGATGGAGCAGCTCCCGGCCCTGCGCTTGTCCCTGTCCCGTGGCTCCACACCTGGCTGTGGGTTGGGCTGCCAGCCTCCACTGCAGCCTGCTTGTGACACCGCTCCTGACCCCTGCCTTGGTCAATGGCCGAGGCTGGGGGCAGGTCCGGGAGTGGAGTTGCACCCAGCCGCGGGTCTGGCTGCTGGCCCTCGTCGTGGCCCGGCTGCAGCTCTGCTCCCACCCCCAGCCTTGGCCCCTGGCCATGGCTCCGCTCCCAGCCCCGGCCCTGCTCCCAGCCCCAGCTGCAATCCCCTTACCTGTGTCTGCGTCCCTGAGCCACGTCTCCCACTGAGCAGGGGCGCGGACAGGGGTAAGGGGGGGACACAACCCTGAAAAGGTTTGGGGACCCCTGCAGTGGAGGCTCGTGCTTTCAGATCCAGAGGTCCCAGGTTTGATTTCGCTCCATGCTGATGACCTCCACAGGGGCATCGCATTGCAGCCGTCACCAACGAAATAACCAAGACTCTGGTGTCGGGAACTGGTGGAACAGAATCTCTGCCTTGTGCTGCAGCTGTCCTGGCCCTGCAGTACTGGGCGTGGAGAGCAGTTCTGGGCTGTGCCATCCTTTGCTGTTTTTCTGCTCATCATCCACACTTCTCATTAGACATGGTTTCTGTCTGCGGCTGCGTGGGGTGATTGTGATGCTCGAGGGGCCTGTTTCTCCATTGCATTATTATGGGCCGTGTGGCTCTAACCCTGGCAGATTGATCTGCAGGGAGATTCCTCCAGTTAGGGCCAAATCCACCCCTGGTATAAATCCATTTACATCAGTGGAGCTTTGCTTAGGATGACTTTGGCTCTAATGGTCCCCTTGTTGGGAGGCTGAGCAGAGACTGAGAGACCTGCAGGCTGAATTCCCTGCTGGGCCCTAGAGATGGCCCTTGTGGGTCAGGGTGAGAGATCGGTTCTCACGTGGCTAAGCACAGCAGTGGGATTCAGCAGACGTGGGGTCTGTTCCCCATTCCTCTGCTTCCCCCCTGGGTGAGTCACTTCCCCTCTGTTCCTTTCCTCCTCTCTAGAATGGGGATAATGATGCTCAGTGGATTCAGGGGCAGGAGGGTCTCTGGCTGCATTGACTAATGGGTGCAAAGTGCTTTGAGAGCCCCTGGCAGAGACTTGAGAGAAGACGCCAGCTCCCAGCATTATCGTCAGACACTCTGGCAAGGGCTGGGTGCTGCCTGTGTGTCAGTAATAATAATAATATCTAGTGCTATAAAATGATTTACAAAGGAGGGTCAGTGTCATCATCCCCATTTTACAGGTGGGGAAACTGAGGCATGGGGAGAGGCCATGATTGGCCCAAGGTCACCCAGCTGGCCAATGGCAGAGCCAGGAATAGAATCCAGCTCTACCGAGTCCCAGTCCAGGGCTCTAGTCACTGGATCGCAGTGCCTCTCATAGAGGGCTCCATTCTCCAGGGCTGTCAAGCCAGCCTCTCTCACCTCTGCAGGTGGTCTTACAAAATGGTGAGCCTGGGGATGAGCCATCAAATTCATCCGCTTTGCCTATCAGCCCAAGTTCCCTTAGAGCAGCAGTTCTCAACTAGGGGTCCAAGGCCCCCTCGGGGGCCGTGAGCAGGTTTCAGGGGGTCTGCCAAACAGGGCTGGCAATAGATTCACTGTGGCTCAGGGCAAAAAGCTAAAGCTCAGCTGTCCCGAGCCCCACCACACAGGCCTGAAGGTGAAGCCTGAGCAGCTTAGCTTCGTGGGATCCCCTGTGGCGTGGGGCCCCAGGCAATTGCCCTGCTTGCTATCCCCTAATGCCGGCCCTGGCTTTTATATGCAGAAAAACAGCTGTTGTGGCAGAGGTAGGCTGTGGATTTTTTATAGCATGTTAGGGGGTCCTCAGACAGAAAAAGGTTGAGGACCCCTGCCTTGGAGGGGACGGAGGATGGCAGCTTTATAGAAACACAGTGATGCCACCAAGACAGTGATCAGATCTCCCATTGACTTCAGCGGAGCAACACTGATTTACACCAGCTGAGTGTCTGACCTAGAACCCGGATCTGACCAGAGTCCACTGAGCTTTTACTGAAGCAATTCCCATGATCCTTTGCAGTCGAAGCTAGGCACGTAGTGATCTGTTTGCTGGTACTGTGTCATGACTCCTCCATTGATGTTCCCTGAGTGTCTCAGCGGAACATTGAAATATTGATGGATGTGGCCAGCCACGCATTACAAGGCTGAGGAATATCAATACAGGATGCTAGGCTGGCTTCATTATCCCCACAGCTGTTTGCCCAGCTTAATCACCAGCCATCAAAACACAAACTCCAGTGGGAAACAGCCTGGCAAACAGGTTCCATCTGCCTGTGGCTTTCCTTGCTGATGTCCTATAAAATCCATTGAAATGTATTTTCCCGTAAATGTATCTGCATGTTGCATTAACTCATTGTAAAATCAGAGCCACCCCGGTCCTGCTCAGAAAGCCAGTGCACGTTTCAGAATGTCACTGCACATCATGTGTGTCTCTCTGCAGTTGTTTGGCCCTGATAGGAATTTCTCCGTTTCCCTGCAGTGCTGACAGCCTAGGATATGGGAGGGTGGGGAGGGGATGCAGGCATTAAATCCACTCGATAGTGACATCCAGCCATCTGAAGCAGCTGTTTGTTTTTTCCAAACCTGCCTTACTCTGACCAGACCGTCCTACAGAATTTGACAGAGATGAAACCAATAGGTTTCTGTAGAAATTGAACAGGATTCTATAGGAATTACTCTGGCATAGGGTTTAATAGAAAATGATCTGCTTTCTAGAGGTTGCATGAACCATTCTATAGCAGGGATTTATTTCTCTGCTCAATGTGTAGCATAGTCCAAAAAGTCCTATAGAAATGTTCTTGTTTTCTGTCCAATTCGATAGGACTTTGCCACAAGATGAGGGGTGTGTGTGTACGTACATGTATGCACACTGTGCAGTTTGAAAAATCCAAACCAGGTCCGATTCTATCAACCCCCTCACAAAGTTCAGTTGTGGGGGGAGCTGTCCTGATTTTAGACCGTCTCCTCTATTTACGGAAACTGAACAGGCTTCCATATAGATGCCTAATTCTCATTAATATTTAAGGGATTTGCGCTTGCATCTCCCTTAGGTGGCCTTGAAAATCTCAGCCCAAACCTCTCATGTTCCCAGGGTCACTGCTAAAAATGAGTCCTTCTTTTAAAAGCAGCAAATTCTAGGCAAATTCCTTTCCCTGTGTGGGGTGGGAGGAGAGATTTGGAGAAAGTGCTTCTTTCCACTGAATAAATTCTCTTCCACCCCTTTCATCTACCTCCTTCTTTACCCGTCTTTTCCATCCCACAGCGTCCTCTGTGCTTTGAAAAGGCCCCATGTGAGGGGAGTGGGGAAGGATGGAGATGCAAGGAAGGTCCTTACAACTCTGGAAACCATGCTGGTTTCCCGTCACTCCTGGACGGACACACACACACACACACACTTTGAAGTTGACAGGCCAAGCAGCTCTGGATGGGGCGTGGCTCATGGGTGTGACACGTGGGTGTTGAGAACATGCCCCCACTCGTGTTGTTCTCCTGCAGCAGGAAATGTTCTGCAGAATGGCTCCTTTCCTGCTGGGTTAAGATAAAGAGAAACACAAAAGCCATGTGCAAAGAGGGGTGGCAGAACAGGACCTGAGCCTAGCATACTGGCCATGGTATGGCTGTCTCTGCAACCCCTTGCCAGGGAACTCAGAACTGGTTTTAGGAAGATACCCTGCTGTGGGGGATCAGAGCCCATCTCTTTGGGAGGGGTAAGCACTGAACAAAGAGCATTATGACAGGAGAGGCAGTCTGGGCTAGTGGTTTGTACAGGAAGTGGGAGGCAGGAGCTCCTGCGACCTAGTCCTCGCTCTGCCATCGACTCGCTGTGCAGCCTTGGACAAGTCACTCAAAACACTCTTGGTGCAGTTTTTCATTGGGTGAGCACAGCCCCTCTGCGGGTGGTGAGGGTCAGTTCAGGTCTGTCTAGGGCTGTGTACTTGGTGCTGCAAGCTATGGCTGGGATCGGTCATCCGAAAGGCTCCATCCTGCATGAGCATCCCGAAAACATTCTGTCCCCTCCACCCCGTTGATGCTAATGGGCACTCTGTGCCTCCCCAGCGCAGCCGAAAGCTGGTCTAGTGCATGAGGTGGGTGCGTTGCAAGAGGGGCGGTGGGGGTGGGCGGGATGGGGAGAAAAAGGCTCAGGTGCTCTATAAGTGGGAATCTCAGACGAGCAGCCCTGGGGGACTTGTTTCAGAACTGCCTCATTCGCGTGACCCAGCGGGGCCGGGAAGCCTTGGTGACGGATTTCGGTCTGGCCAGAGAGGTGGTGGAGCTGCCCATGAAGAACCCGGAGAGGAAGCTGTCCCTGGTGGGCTCCGCCTTCTGGATGGCCCCTGAAATGCTGCGGGGGGAGCCGTACGACAGGAAGGTACAGTTCTGCCTCCCTGCCCCTTGTGTGTCCACAAGGCCCAGGTCAGGTCCCCCCGTCGCTCTCCAGAGCCTCCCGCACAATCAGTAGTGTTAGCTTCTCTTCCAGATGGTGGCTCTGTGATGTTGACTTGGTTATGAGTTTATGGGTCCCTGGCAGGATCAGCTCCACACCAGTGTGGTCCGAGGCCTGGCTGAGTGTCGCCAGGCATGGAGAGGTTTCTGGTCAGACCCTTCAGAGTGAGGGCACAAGTACTGTGCTGGAGAATCTTTCTCCCTGGGATAGGTGGGAGAGGACAGGAAAGCTCCACTTCCCATAATGGGTATTGCTCTCCCTTCTTTCATCCCAACTCTGCTCTCTCCAGCTCTCCAATGAGTTAGGGAGCCATGCAAGCTTGCCTAGGAAAGTTCCTTTGGAGACAAGAGGTTCTGATGCTTGACTGGCCTGGGTCAATTACGGCTGCTTGTGGGACGTGTTCTCCTTACTTTGGAGAAAGAGCTGGTGAAGCCTCTGTTAAAGAAAACACTTGAGCAGGCTGTTTGGTAACTACACATCTATGTAACTATTGTGATCGTTCTGTCCTCCATTGAAATGCAGCCAGTTCTGGGGTGGTAATGTGGCTGCCACTATAAAGGTGCTAGCAACATTGAACAAAGCTTTAGGGACAGGAAGGGAAGAAGAATATCATATGCAGTTATCCACATCTGAATTAGCTGAGGACACTGGGGTTAACACCCCTCCCTTTTGCAGTGTTTTGGGTGTTTATCTTATAGATCTGCTCTAGGAATTATTTTGAGGCAGTTCTATGGCCTGTCTATACAGGAGGTCAGACTAGATGATCACAATGATCCCTTAGGCCTTAATCTGTGAAAGAGGTGTCACTGGGTGTTTGGCCATGTGCAGTGAGTCCCTCTGTTTTATGTCTCAGCTGAAAGACAGCACCTCCTGCAGTTCCCTGCGCTGTATGTTGAAAGGAACAGAGCAGCTTGGTGAAGGCAGGCAGAGAATGAAAGGCAAGGGATTGTTCTCTTGTTACACGTTTCCCTGCCCACACCCTTGCTTTTGGGTGACCTCAAAGCAGGGTCGCTCGGTCTGCCGTCCTCTTTCTGACCCTTTGCTTCTATACACACTAGAGCCCCCCCTCACTCTGTATTTCTGCCCCCTCTTGCAGGTTGATGTGTTCTCATTTGGCATAGTCCTGTGTGAAATACTGGGCAGAATCCCCGCTGACCCCGAAGTGCTTCCCAGAACGCAGGTAGTTATTACTGCAGCTCAGGTCTGACCGGTGTATCCTCCATGCGCTGAAGTTAACAGATTGGGTGCCTGTGGTTTCTTACACACACACACACGTTAAAAGTTTTCCAATAACCAGTTTGTTGTGGTGGGTTTTGTTTACATGTCATTTAGTTGCCACCTACATTTTCGGTGGGAAAAGCAACAGCTTTGATCAAATGTAATCAGTTTTTCTGAAGTGCCAATTTGGTTCCCTATGTTTTCATCTCAAACCTCTTTTCCAGACTACTGTTTTGAATTGACGTTTCAGCTTTTAAGTGGAACGGTCAATTCAAAGCACAAATAGTCGTTCCATATCGATGTTCTGAACTGGAACGCTGCAGCCTTTTGCGTGGAAAGGGTGAAATATTGTTTCCATTTTTAAAATGGCACAGTCGTTGGTTCGGTTCAACGTCGCCGAGTCAGAAATGCTCAGGCGTGACTTCCCTTTCCACGAAGTTCTTTTCTATTTCAACGGCTTTGTCCAAACCGACGTGGCGCTGTTGGAACTTCCCCTGGGATGGAAATGCCCTTTCTCGAGCCGCCCTGCTTAGGAGGGAAAGAAGGAAGGAAAGAACTCAAAATAACCTGAGACTGGGGAGAGACTAAACTCTCCATCTGTGTGCATGAGAGGAAGGGAATTCTATGTCAGAAAGTGGTGGCTCAGAGGATGATGCTACAGACACAGAAACAGTGAGGTGCTGCGAAGGGCTGAGCTCCCGCTGAAAGCCTGGATTTCACGTTGACAGTGAGTGCTCATCACCTCCCAGGATGGAGCTCACTGACTGGCTGCTACTTACTCATCTTCAGCTCAGGTGCTGACATAGTGGCCCCCGTCACCACGGTGCCTAAACACCTCATAATCTTGAATGTATTTGTCCTCACCCCTGCACCCTGCGCAACAGGGCAGCGCTGTCATCTCCATTTACAAATAGGGAGCTAAGGCACCCAGAGATTAAGGGCCAGATTTTAAAGGTATGTCGGTGCCTAAAGATGCAGATAGGTACCCAGTGGAATTTTCAAAAGTGCCTGCTTGGGAATTAGGCATCTAAAAGAGCATTTAAAACCCCCACGAGAAGCCTATCTGGATAGGGAAGTGAAAATCTGGCCCCAAGTGACACAGGAAGTTTGGGGCAGAGCAGGGATTTGAACCTGGATCACCTGAGTCCAGGTCTAGTGTCCTAACCACTGGACCATGCTTCCTTGTAATTCCTGAATCCATTTCAAATCATTTAGGCTAGAGGAACAGCGTTGCCTAAGGGTGAGCGCACATGGCTAGGAACTGGGGGAGTCTGAGTCTTTTCCTGGCTCCGCTACTTATCAATAAATTGATCATTTTTCTAAAGTGCCTGTTACTTTGATACGTGTGTGTGCTTAGCCATTAACGTAATGGCTATGATAGAGGGGTTGTGAATCTTAATCCATGGATCAGTGCTTTGAGATCCTTTGATGTGAGGTGCGAAGGAAGGGCATAGGGGTTGGTTTGTGATCCAACTCTTCCATACCATGTCTCCTGCTTCTCACTGAGGTTCACGTGGCCACTGGTGGGGTCGAGCTTCAGGGACTGGGAAGTGCCTCCAGAGGGAGGGTAAAACATCCGTCAGGTAAGGAACTTGGCCAGCCACCTGGAAAGAGCCATATCCTGAGCCCTGCAATTGTTCTGAGGCGTCACAATCCCGTTCCTCGGTGCAAAGCGCTTTCCCACAGCCCACGCCCCGCCCAGTCAGACCATCTCCTCCCCCTCGCCTGTCATTGACCCAGAATCTCGTTGTCTTTCTTCTCCACCAGGATTATGGCCTTGATGTTGCAGCTTTCCAAGGAATGATCAGTGAATGTCCCAAGCGGGTTTTGGACCTAGCCGCTAGTTGCTGTCGGGTAGGTTTCTCCCTCGGTTTCCTTTCTCTGTCTTTCAGTTTTACCGTCTCACTTGCTGTGTGTGAGAACTCAAACTGCCCTTCAACCCCAGTGGGGACTGAGCCCTTCCCCTTCGTCACAGCCCTCTGCCACTTGAGGGAAAGGAGTGACTCGGGGACCTGGCAGCAGAGGGGAGGTTTTATCCTCTATGTAGACTAACCGCTACAAGAGGACACTTAGCCAGTGTGTGACAATGGCAGAGTAATGAGAAAACTTGAGGGAATCTGGCAACACAGGGGCAGGTTTTGAATCCGGGTGTCATTGTCAAACTTACCCGCTGCACCAAATGGTTTTTGCACTGGCAGTAATGGAGGAAACGGCATGTATTTTCCCAGGAGTCTCTCTCAAAATCCCCTCCCTTCTCTGTGCGGTGACTTGGTCCCACAGCAAAAAAAGGTTAGATGGCCACTGGCACACACAGATGTCTGATATACAAATGGCAAGGATACAGATGGAGAGACAGGACCTAGAGGATGTGGTCGGCCTGCATTGCTGACTTTACAAATTTGTTCTCCGGGGCCCACCGGTCACACCACATCATCTTTTGCTTTTTCATTTTCCTATAACTTCTGGTTTTTAAAATAAAATGTCACAGAAATAGCAAAGATGCCTCACTGTGCTGGCTGGAGCAGCTCTGTTGCCAGGCCGTACGGGGCAGGCTGGAAATGAGGCAAAAACTCACCACATTACTCGCAAGGAGGAAGAAACAAAGGCAGTTTCTCACCCAGGCAGACAGCAGAGAGTTCTGTGACTATATTCCAACTAGTTACTTTGGAACTCAACGGCAACAAATTAAAAGAAGCTGCAGCAACAATCCTCAAGATGTGTCATTAGTTTATTCTAGAATCAAAATGGTGAATCAGAGTTGGTAGCTGGCTTCAATTCACGTGTCTTCAGCTCCTGCGTCTCTAAGGCTGACACGAGGAGAAGCGGCTGGGGATGATTCAGGTGGCTTGCAGAGAGCTGGTCTGTGTCATACAAGGTGGAGGACCTTCCCGCAGGCCTCGCGCTGCGCAGCACTTCAAAGGGAAAGTCAAGAACTTGATGATGCAAAACGCCTGCCATGGCCAGGCCTGCTCAGGATGAGATGTGTCGGGAGGGATTCAGGGGGAGCTTATCAAAGACACAAAGGGTGGCCAGACACTCGACTCCCACTGGAAGGCAATGGGAACTGGGCACTTGCCTGCTTTGTGGCTTTGAAAACCTCCCCCTCAAATCCCCTGGCCCTGCACATTTTGGGTTGGATTCTGGTCCAAATCGTCAAAGGCACTAGGCACCTAATTCCCATCGATTTCAATGAGAATTAGGTGCCTAAATATCTGTGAGGCTCTGGGCTTCTGTGCATGAATAGTTTCAAGGCCCAGTCTGAGAAACACGACTGGCCTTATTCTTCTCTGTGCAGAGGAGAGGCAGCTTGCACATCCCCCGCTCAGGTGCCTCTAGGGCCCCATTCAGCCACTCAGCCCTGGTGAGTGCAGTGCCTTGGGCAGCTTCACTGGCACCTCTGCTGCCATGGCAGGGGCACGGCGTTACCAGCATGCATGATCTCTCCTGACCCCAGACCTGGAACATCCTAGGGCTTTTCCAGCTCGGTGGCTCCGAAGCCTGATGGCCCTTTTGCAGGTCCTTTGCACTGGGTTAGTGGTGCAAAGGGCTGCCATATGGGGTGAGTTTCCCTGAGAGAGCCAGAGTCTCCCCTCACACTGGAGTAACACCAGATGCAGGAGAGCGGAGAACCAGGAGGGTCTTAAGCTTCAGTGTCCTTGATGTTGTTAGACCCCTATGCAAATGCCGTGCCAAAGTCAGCTGTAACCAGGGGCTTGATTCTCCATAGAGCATCTGCGACACATCATGCAAACAAGTTCAAGGCAAAATGGATGAGCAGGTGGGCTTGGTTCTGTGTTAATGTGATAAAGCTGCTAAGAAGTTACTTCTGACAAGAGGCAAAGAGGGGACAGCATAGCTGGGAGGGAGGGTCGTGCTGATGTCCACATCTCAGACACCCTCACACCTTACTCCTTTTGGACACTGCTGCCTTGCAAATCAGGGTGCAGAGGGTCTCGGGACTTCCCACCACTCAGCGTCCAGGGCTGTGCCTTGTGCCTCTCCTTACTTGTGCCCACAAGTTGCTTCCATGCACCCTCACCCTGGAGCACAGCGCCCCTTTGCTCCTTGCTGTGTGCACCATGGGAGGACTTGCAAGGTCGAGACCCCAGTCAGGTCTGCAGCTTTGATGTCCCACTAGCCTAGCTTGCAGCCCCTGGGAGAGTCAGCCCTATTTTCCCCATGTCCCCTCCCAGCAGAAAATTCCCTTCAGCCTCTTGTTCCTCCTCCCCCTTTCAGGTGGAAGCATTTAAGAGGCCCTCTTTCTGTGAGCTGCTGGATGAACTGGAAGACGTAGCAGAGAGTTTGGAGGCTCTAAAGGATAATCAGCTGTCTGGATGATTGCCCAGGCTCTTCTGAGCCCTGATGGAGTCAGACTCAAACTGTAAATTACGTGTACATCAGAAAAGGCGAGAGGAGAAAGAGCACAAGGGTGAAAAAGCAAAGTAATGCCCTGGTATTTATTTAATTGTATTCTCTTTCTCACATAGAAAGTGTGGCTTGAAAAATACAAAGGTGGACTTTCCAAGGGTTTTTTTCTAGCTGAAGTTTTTAACAGAAATAATTCCAACACTGAGCAGTCTTTGCTTGGTTGTTTTTGTTTTTTAAAGAAGAAGATACTAATTTCTGATGTAAATATAGAAGGTGAGAGATTCTGGAGGGGCGCTTGATAATTGAATCTCAGCTGGGGATGCTCTCTGAAGCCCAGGATAGAAGTGTGGCTCTCCCCACCCCCCCCATAGTCCTACCTGTGTCTCAGCCCTCCAGCCTTCATCGGAGCCATCTCTGGAGGCTGTGGATTTGGCGTTGTGTAAAGGGGAAGGGGAGGCATGGCAGACTGTGAGCTAGTAAAGTCGCCTTATAATACATAGCCTTAAAACCGTCCTCCAGTAGCCTTGAGAGGAGAGGACGTTCTGTAATGTCTCTGGTCATGTGACCTTCCTAGAAACCGGCCAGCGTCCAAGCACGCTTGTTGTGCTCAGAGCATTTTGGGGGGCTCGTGTAGACAGAGGGTGATGGTTTGGGAATCCTGATTGGCTGCTGAGGAAGTTAAAATTGCCTGTTTGTGGAACATTCCACTGAGACGGGGGTATTTGCTTGAAAAAATATAAACGAATGAACCAATATATACCTTTGGAAAAGCTGCATCAGGGATGCTTGCCGTGTCACAGGCGTGTCCGTGCCAACAGAGAAGTGCTTGCCGTGTTACAAGCGTGCCCATACCAACAGAGGTGCTCACCATGTTATAGGCGTGTCCATACCATCAGAGGGTCTTTGTGTGGTACAGGTGTGTCCTAGCTTTCTTACAGCAGATGCTAGACTGTCTGGGTTTATTCCCATGGCTCCCACACCCCCAAGACTCCTGTGACAGGGTCGCACACCATACAAAAACATCCCAACAAGCTCTGAGGCAGGTCTGTCAGGGGATTGCTAGTCACTGGTGAGGGGCCATGATTGGCAAGCAGGCAGGATAACGCCGACCGCCTCCACACTGGGGAGATCCCTGTGAGTTCCTGGCTGTGTTCGCGTCTTGATGCCCCTTGTCATGGTGGGCACTGGGGCGTGCACTCCGTGATGCAGGCAGTCGGGACAGGGTGTATTGGGGTTGGCAGCCCTGGCCTTCGCTGATTTGGGATATGCTTCAGATCATATTCTACTGCATCACTGTTCTGGGTCCATCCCCAGCTGCCCTCTCCAGGGGCGGATGTGCTCCCCGACAGGCAGGTTCAGACTCTGGTACCGTAATACCCACCTTATGATTCCGCCTTATCCTATTAAAGACTAACCACTCCCTGAAAGTAAACCCTAGTTTATCAGTGCACCTAAGTAAGTGGCTTGAACGTTGCTAATGGGACCCCATCATCAGGTTCATGCAGGCCCAGCACTTCGGGCTCTCTCTCACCTCTGCAAAGCACCCTCCCGTAGCAGTTTCTGAACTAACGCTGCCGGGCAGATGTGTTGTCCGGGGGACAGACAGTGCAGCGCAAGGCTGGAGACAGAGGCGTGCTTTGCAGAGCTGCAGGACAAGAGCCGTCTTTGTTGGACCCCATTGATTTGTTAGTCGGGGATGGGGAGGCTTTGGTTAGAGAAGTCAGGCCACAGCAAAACAGCTTATTCCCACCCGAAGCGAAGGAGGAATTTGCGGAGGCTCAAGTCCTGAGGCATTGTGGGGATGCATGAGCATCTGATTTATGGGCTCAGGAGGAGAAATGAAGAATGTGCCAGTCATCTACCCCCTGTGCAAAGCCATTTCCTCGTGTGTGGGTGTTTGTGTGTGATGACACTGACCCACCTCGCAGGGTGTGGTGTCCTTGAATCAAAGGGCTAATGTGCTTTGCGGATGCTAAGGTCCAAGTGTTATATTTTCTTCTGGGATCGGATCCAGCAGAAAGAGGTTAAATACAGTTAGGGAAATAGTTGGAGGAGATGGGGTAGGCTGAGATGGGAGGGATTCCAAATTAGGGGCAGGAAGGGGAGGGGTTAATTAGAGTTAACTAGCAGTAGCAGAAACCCTTTTCTAGTGCAAACTTAAAAAAAAAAAAAAAAGGCAAGTGATAAATCCAGCATCTGACTAATTTTGAGCTTCTCCTAACACATGGTAGGGTCTTGTATACGAATGATTTCTCAGCAGCAGGGCCATCTCCACCACTGGTTTAAAGTGGTGTACTTCGGTTGAATTTCATGGAGTTACACCAGGTTACTCTGGCTGAAGCTCCTGCCCCTAAGTTGTAGCTCTTCGGGGCAGGGCCTGTCCGGACAGTAAGGCTGAACACAAGAGGACCTCAGCCCTGCATGGAGCCCGTAGGCGCTGCTGTTACACAAATGATGAAGCATAAGTGGGGACCAATTCACACACTGCGGTGATGTGCTGTAACCTGACGCACAGCCACTTCTTACTATATATTTCACACTTGGTAAATGTCCTGACCAGTGTTTTCAGATGTTCCTTGGTTCTGGCTACTCCCTGAAGCCTGTAACAATGCAGCAGCTCAAAGATAGAGACTTTGAATGCTGGTGGAGTCTGTATCCTGCGAAATACAAACAACTGTGTGGGGAAATGGCACTGACATCTGTGCAAGTGAATGTCTGCAGTAATAAGGGACAGCGTTGTAATGGTTTTGCATTCTCTCAAGGGACTGCAAGGATTTGGAAGTCTGCAAGAAATATACTCAATGCAGCAAAGATGCATCTTACAGTGAGAGATTTACTAGTTCAAACATGTTTCTGGAAGATTATTTGTTGCTCCATTTTCCTCTGTATCGCTGCTATGCTTTTTGTCATTTGCTGATGAGTTTATACACAAGGATCTTCTTGCTTAAGAGTTACAATATGCTCAGCAAATATGGATTTCTGTGCAGCGGGCTCCGAGGAGCAGAGTCTTAAGGAGCAGCAGGGTGAGATTCCCTAATTATTCTGCCGAGGAAGGAGACCGTGGCTATTTGACTTGCTTCCCAATTTGGAGTCTCTGTACCATCTGAGTGGAAGTTACAGGAGCTTGTGTTTTACTGCCTGGCAGTACAAACACCATTGATATGCACTGTGTATCTTCAGTGTGAGCCAAGCAACACCTGCGTCATGGCAAAGTGCAGGGTGGTAGAAGGCAAATAGCTAGGTTTGCATTGAACGATTAAAAGGTGATGCATGGTGGGAAAGGAGGAGACCTGCTGAGGAATCCCACTGCCCTCTTCAAAGGAGCCAGGCTGTACAATCAGCTGTTGTGGGGGGCAGGGGATGTACCTCTTAATCTTTTGAGGGCCAAGTACTGTGACGTGGAGCAAGACCCACAGCCCAATCCAGCATCCATGTGCAACTTCCATTGGCTCAGCGGGAGCTGGAGTGGACCCTAAATGAGGGACATAAGGGTATATCATAACGTGGAGAGCCCTGAATGACATAGGGCCTGATCCAAAGCCAGTGAAGTCATTGGATCAGAGTCCCTTGGAACATAGGACGGGAAGAGACCTCCTGGGTCATGGCGTCCAGTCCCCTGCTTTGTAGGCCACCCCACCGTATCATCCCCATCAGGAACTTATCCAGCTCCATCTAAAACCAGTTAGGTTGTTTGCCCCACACTGCTTCTGTGGGAGATGAGCCACAGCCTCCCTCCTCTGATGGGCAGAAGCCTTCTTCTGTTCTCCAGCCTAAATATGCTCCTGGATCGTCCACCGCTGTTTGTTCTTGAGCCAAAATTGTCCTGTAGCTTCGGTAGCTCTTCTCCCTCCCTGGGATTTCCCCCTCTCCTCTCCCCATGTATTTATTGACTTCAGTGGGCTGTGGTTAAGGCCCTCTATTGCTTTAATAACATTAGCAGAGACCTTCCCCCTTTGCCTCCTCTCCACAGCATCTGGAATGCCAGCTGCGTGAGCCCACTCCTCTGTTGCAAATACTGAACAATAACAGAGGAATCCAATTTGGCATGGAAGGCAGGCACTTTTGGGGCTAAAACAAGGTAGGGCCCTGCTAATAGGGAGTGCTGCAGGGCATGGGCACTGGCCTGCTTCTGAAGGTACAAGTTGCAGTTTTCAAAGGCCGTTGTGGGATTCAGTGCCCAAGTTTCATTGAATTCCGGACAGGATGGAGTTCGGAGGCCCAGCTCCATAGATTGGACAGATCTGGAGCAGAGCGGGATGTGGGTTGCTTTGTATTATTTGGCTTGGCTTGGCTGAATGGGCAGTGCTAGTGATGAGTGGTCTCTGCAGAAGAGCTAGCTGGATTCTCACGCCTCTAACCTCATCTCCCAGGACAACCTCTTTGGTGCATGAAGAATGATCCTCTAGCAATAGGTGTGTCCCATCTAAGACAGTCTACTCCTTCAGTCCTTCCAAGTGCCCGCTTGCCATGTGACTGGCTGCTCTGTAGAGCCCTGGGGCAGTCGTTTGTGAGGTGAGCCCGCTCTCCAGTTATTTACTGCAACCCCAACCAATCCCAGCAACCCCTCACCCAAGGCTCCGGTCACAGTGAAAGTTACAAAGTAGAACATAATTGCAGAGTGAATAGAAACTTTGTTGAAGGTCTAGTAAAGTATTGTCGACTGCTTTTAATTGTATTGTTCTGAACAGTAGCATCTTTTCATGGATGCCTGGAAAGGAAGTACATTGGTTAAAGGGATATGTTTGGTACACACTGAGGCTGTACGAAGCAGAGGCGTCCAGCTGGTGTCATTGGGAGCGTGAACCGGACAGATGTGTAGCTGAGTGCAGTAGGCTAGGCCTGTCTGTGGCTAGGAGCTGATAATGGTACTCATTTAGTTCTGGAGAGCTGAATGAGGGAGAGGTTGATGCCAGTCAGGTCCTTTCTAGACAGCAGGGGTGAAATTGTGGTTCCACTGAAGTCAGTGGGAGTTTTGCCATTGCCTTCAACAGGGCCAGGGTTTCTCCCCAGACGTATAAAGAGTTAAAGTTTGAGATGAGCCAAAGCAAACACCCTGGGGAATTTCCACCCCAGATGTGAAGAGCATTGCTGGGATCTGTCTCGAGGAAGCTGGCTTTGATCCCTCATCCTGCTCTTTGGGAACGTCCAGCTCAATATTTGAACTTCCCAGCTCGGAGCCCTGCCCCTGAAATCAGGGAGTCACGACGCTGGGGATCTGTGTAGCTCTGCCGTTGTCCTCCAGGTTGCATTACTCACCTCCCAGTCACAGTGACTCACAGGCTTAGCACATCTGTTCTCCAGCAGGAGCCCACTCCTCCAGCTCCCTTTCTCTCTCCTCTGACAGACTCTCCACTCCACAGAAGCGAGCGAGGGTACAGACCATGGTGTATGTACGGTATCCAACAGGAGAGTGTTTCTATCACATAATGTCTTTTTAAAAAATGCCACTTTGGAATAAAGTCCAGTGCTTCTTTCCCACACAATCCTAGGTTCTTTTGTGTGTTTTGTTCTCCTGGGTCGATTGAGTAGTGTCACAGAAAGTCTGTGTGTTTCCACTCGCAGTCAGCTATGGCATCTAAACAGATGGTTCATGCTCTGTTTATCTGTGTAATTGACGCTGTAAATCTTTACTTAAATTGCACTTGCAAAACAGCTTTAACTGTGAGATGACCAGATCTTCCACTGTTCATCCTTCTGTAATGGGGCCAGCTGATCGGCACTAAATCAGACCCTTCGCTTTAGTTTAGGAGATAGAAGATCAAGAAAACAACA